AGTGCGAGGGAAAATGACTGCAATCCATAGATGAGGCTAATGGCCTTAAATAATACACTTGGGCATAGTTGCCGGAGAAATCGGCATTCATGGAGTTAATAATGGGCCTGATACAACCTTTAAACATAATTGCACAGGACATTGTTGACAAGGAGTTGGTGCAGGCATTTGCAGCCAAAGAAAACGATAAAGACTTCTTACTCGTTTAGTTCAACCTGCGAGCGAGAAGCATCTTGCATGGCGCTGATAACATTGTTTTATCTCAGATTCCCAGTCTTGTCACAAGGTCTTCATCCAAACAACTAGATGGTAATTAAGCGCTGGCACTCTGAGCCGAAAGGTGTTTTCACCACATTTATTTGAAGTATGAACACGACGCACACTCTCCTCTTGTAGATATCGATGCTAGTTTTAAGGATGTACTGTACTAAGACACGTTTTGAAATGAACGAGTGGAGCCAACAATGAGATTTCCACTTGAGCAGTGTCCGGCAGAATGATGAACGAGGCGGTAGACTCGGGGAATTACAGTGATTTAAAGTTGGATCAAACCCTATACGAGTTCTCCTCTCGCTTTAGTGTCATTTTATGTGGCTACACAAACATGTGAGCTCTGCGTGTGTGTGTTTTTTTTTTTTATTTGTGTGTCTAATTCAATGTGTGTGTGTGTGTGTGTCGGAGGGGGGGGAGTGAATGTAGGCTGCAGCTCTTAAGAGTACATACTGTGCGTTCATACATGTGTCTGCGTGTTAGCGCTGTGTGGGTACGAGAGTAAAAGGGAATGGAATAGACTCAATTTAAATCAAATTAGCATGCAGGCAAATTAAGCAGAGGGATTTAATTTGAGCTGTTGTAAAAATGCTAATTTCAGTACAGCCCGGAAGCTTATATGCAAATACAACACTATTTTACAATAATTCATATTAGGCCAGGCATGCATAAAACACACATATTACAGCCTGATGTCATCTGGGGAATAGAGTATCATTAGCTCTTGGACTTGCAACAAGGTGATCGTGTTTTGTGGCTGCATGCATGTATAAGAGCATTTTTTTTGTGCTCTATGAACGGCCGTGTGCCTGCTTTTGGTGTATTTGTCCACCATTTTTTATCATAATGTGATATACAAACAGCCACTGCAAATTGTATGCAGAAAATACCAGAATGGCAGATGCTGTTGCTGATTGTTACTGCAGCAAATGACTCCTCACAGAGCAGTAGCTGCTACTGGCTCATGACTTGCTTTTACATATCTTTCAGTGAACATATGGGAAACTGGTTTCTCTCGCACACACACACACGAAAAACTGCATTTTACCAGATCAGTGAAAATGTGTAAAAGCAGAAAACACAGAGCCACTAACTCAGAAACATGGCTGTCTTATATATTCTGCTTTCATATGCGGATTATTCTGCCTGCGCCCTTCCCTAGCGTTCTGTTTCCACGCTGCAAAGCCTCAAAAAAAAAAAGTGCCACATCAATAGACAAAGCGGCGTTCTCGTCCCATGTGGTTCACCTTTTGATTGCCGGCTCGAAAGCGCTGCGCATAGATGCCTATGGATGTCGCGAGTGCGCGCGGTTCTTTACACTGTAAATAAGCAGAAGTGGAAGAGATGAGGTTTGGGTGTTAACATCTTAATGTTTAAAGAGGCTGGAGGAAGCCCGTCGATACTCATTTGACGTGTTAAGGGGAATCGTGCCGGCTCGCTGGGACTCACAATGCCATCCACCAGCAATGGGGGGGGAATCAATTAAAGCACTATTAGGCTCTGGGTTTGACGTGGTCCAACACAGCATGGATGGATGTGGTTGGGTTTTTGTACAGATGTAGCTTAGGAAATTTATTCTAAATATAGTTTTTTATTGTAGTTTAGATCTGAAATTTCTTTATTGAGGGGGAAAAAAACATTTCAGTTAAGTTAAAAGAAATGAAACCTGGAGGAAATTCTCTAACTACACACACTGAGGGACACATTCTACCTCTTGGTTTGTGTTTTTTTTTTTTTTTGCTTCACATAAGCACACAATCTATCGAGTTAATGGACGTCCAAGTTATTCCGTTCTGATGCCCACACCAAAGTTTCAGCCTGCTTCATCCGTGCCCAGGTGGAAATGTTTAATGCTTCCAGCTCTACTCTCATCTCCAATGCTTCCTCTTTTTTTTTTTTGCTCCACTGTTCAGCAAAAGACAGAGAAATTGTTTGTTGCCTCTCTCTCTCTCTATCGCTCTGTCCCCTTGGCTCACAAGGGACAATTATGCCCCCCTTTCAAGCTATTGCCAAGCCCAATTTGCCACACAAATTAAACAGGCCGCATTTGAAGAGCAAGGGGGACAGGGTGAAGGAGAAAACGAGAGAAAGCAACAGAGAGAGAAGGCCAAAGACAAAACAATGGCAGAGTGAAAACAAACCAATAGACCAAACGTAACAACACAATCCTCTAAGATCATTTTTAAATCCATCATGTTCCTCCCAGCTTTAACAGGTCCCATTTGGAAACACTTGCAGGGGGGCTCAGATATGATAAAACTCCCATTACTGTGCGTTTATTAGGGGCCCTGATTGGTGTTTTTTAACAGGGGGGCTGCACTGTATTGGTAGGACTGGCTCTGAGGATCGTGCCATCTGTTGAGCAGGCAGACTCAGCCATTTTCTGCTCTCGTGTGTCTCATATCCTCCACCATGTCCACAGCCGGAGGCTAGCTCACACCCAAATGGATCCAGAGCAGCAGCAGAGGGCAGTTTTCCCTTTGGAAATGCAGTCGGATTTTGGTGCTGAGGGGCTTCGTCTGGAACGGAGTAAGCTGGTGTGCACTTACTGCACACCACACATGTGGAGAGAGCCCCAGAGTGTCTGGGCTGGATATGCATATGCAGCAGCACAGTAGAGGAAATTAAGGAGCTTCGGAGTCGCTGGAAGGGGCTGTTGCACCGTTTCCAAACAGCAAACGGGAGAAGGTAGGGAGAAGACAAAAGACGCAGGCGGAAACACAGCAGAAAGAAAAAGCCCAAATAAGAAACGAGGAGAAAATTGGCAAGAGAGCGATTAGGAAGAAAAACAATAGAGGGGAGCTGGGAAAGGGAGGAACAAACACGTGCATGTGGGAGATCAGGCGGTGCAGCAACAGAAAGGAGAAAATATAAATCCCAGAGCTAATATGTGGCGCCTGAAGTGGTCGCGGCTATGAACAGGCACTTTCCCTCAGTTTCAGACAAGACATGCACCTCATCCCCGTGACCTCCGTGACTCCCACACACACCCTCAGCCATTAACAGACAGCCACTGTGGCTACCTCATGATAGGTTTGTTTTGGCTTTGAAATGATGACCCAGCACAGCTGTTTAAGTGGGGTATGGGGCAGCAGCAGCTGCGAAACGGCCAGACGACTAAAGGAAGGAAATTAATGGGGGGTTGGTGGGGAATGGCGAGCACTGAGGCGTCAAGATTTGGGGCCTGCCGACTGCAGTTGCGCAGGTCTCCGTTACATTTGTGCTCAAATGCAAGCGTGGAATGTCTGGAAGTTTCACCAAGACAGTTGTCTGAGCGAAGGTTTTGGCAATCGTATTTTTTTTTCCCCCCCTCATCAAATGTTGTTGTAAATTCAGACTAGACGGTGGAAGATGGGAGTTTCTGAAAAGATAGCTCCTAAAGAGCTCCCTCAATGGCAACGTTTATCGACCATTAATGCCGTTTTGGGAAGGTCCCATAATTAAATTGTGTCAATAAATCCTGGAGCTGCACATAAAATGGGGGATAAACGGAGAATACATTTCTCCATTTGCCTCTCCCCCGCTGTGAGACATATGTGGCGCGAGGCAGAGAAGAAAAATAAAACACATTTGAACAGATTGCAGGGAACATTTCTCAAGCACAAAGTTGAAAATCTCACCCATCAATTTCACTTTGCGTTGCTCTGTTGTGTATGACCTTGGGTTGAACGATCCCTTCATTCAGAGATATTCAGCTGAACTGAGGGGATTTCAGTCAGTGCAAAGGGAGCAATAAAATTTTTTATTCATCCCACTGTGACTCCAGAAGCTAATGATTCATGGATCTTAGTGTAAAAAGGGAAGAAAAAAAAAGAGAGAGAAGGTTTGGAGAAGAGGGAGGGGAATCTTTGGTGTAGGACCAGCGCTCAATGAGGTTTGAAAACTGTTGTCACACATCAACGGGCAGGTGTCTGATGTCAAGTGACTCAATTCCAAAGATTTCTCATGGTGAAATTCTTGGCAGAGGCCTGAGCGTTTCTGGTTCTCACTGCAGCAAAGACGCGGTTGGAAAAATCCAGACTTGGTAGTTTGGTGAGATGTAGAGTTGTGACATACAGGTGTGTGGAAAGCACAATGTGATGTTTTCCAGCAGCCATGCAAAAGTCCAATGATGGAGGATTTTGGTCTTTTTTTTTCTCCCCCATAAATGTACGCAGCATCTTTAAAGATCCCCCAAATAAATCCAGAAACGATGCAATTATTAGATTCAAATATTTAACTGCCAGAGACGCAGCTTCACCAAATCTGCTTGTTAAGTGTGATGTATAAGCTGCAGATTGGACCCCAGCTGGCTTCCCAACTTCCTCGCATGTCTTCAGCTCAAATTTACAGAAAAAACTTTCCCCCTCTGGGAGATTAATCTGAACACACAGTGAAGGTCAGACGTGAAATAACAATAGATGTGAGTGGAGGGGCCCAGGATCTTATGATGGTGATGATGTTCCTTTCAGAGTAAAGTTTTGGAAATCCTGATGTACAAAAATAATCATTTTAAGATTGGTGGTGAAGGAGGCCATACTGCAGCAGCCAGCCTTTGTGCTTCATGAAGACATGTCATGTATTCCATTTAGAATTCATTTAAGTTGTGTGTCGCAGTCGGTGTTTATGTTTGCAGTGTTCAGGAGAAATAAAAACAAACAAACAAACACAGTTCCACATTCGCCACCCCGTCCCCCAACCCAGCAGGACACCACACTCGGGGCCCACGTGAGAGCCGACGATCTACTTACTTTGAGCGTCGGCGAGGTGGAGTAGCAGACCCAGGACAAGCAGCAGCGGCAGCAGCAGCGTGGGTCTGGCTCTGTGCATGGTGGGACAGCTTGGCACCAGCATGCTTTGGCAGCCTCGGTGGCACTGGCTCACAGAGCCCTGTGAGTCAGTCTGGTCTGATTTCTCAGATGCAGGGTATTCACAGCCTATGCAAAGGCAAGGAGGGATAGGAAGAGGGAGAAGGAAGAAGGAGGAGGAGGGAGGAAAAAAGAGAGAGAGAGAGAGAGAGAGGGACTGAATGAAACAAAGCTGTTTGGCTCCATGGGTTTTATCTATCCCTGCACATTTCTGACATACCCCCACACAGCCTCGGCTGGAGCTGACAGAGGATAGGAAGAGCCTGATGTGCTCACGGGGTATGTTCTGACAGTTCTCTAAATGGAATAGTCACTTCACACAATGCGTGTGCACGTGTGCATGAGAGGGAGAGAGATAGAGAGTGCACGAGAGAGAGGGAGAAACCACACAGATGAAAGGGTGAGTTAATATGATTTTGTCTTCACAGCTTTGGTCGCGAGCACCAATTAAATACGCTGCATAATAAGAGTACATTTTAAGTCCCCCTCAGATCAGCGCTGATATCTGTTTCACATAAAGAACGCGCCCCTCGCATAGGAGAGTCGGGGAGGATTCGTGGACGGTGAAAGCTTTTTCATTCGATTTAGGCAAAACTGCTCAAACTTGGCGTCTTTTTCCGACGACGCAAAATATCTGCGGCGCCGTCTTTTAATAACAGTGTGATACCCTGTACATATTCAATAAAGCAATTCATCTGAGGCACATATCGGTGCCTCTCACACCACACATCCATCCATAGTGGATGCTTTAATAGCTCTAAGTGCCCGTACAAAGTGATGGAGTAGCTCAGCTTCAGCACTCACACTCATGTTTTCTCCTTTATCCAGTTGCTGCACAAACAAATAAAATCTATAAGACAGAGTGGCCAGCTGTTGCCATTCATGTTTCTTTTTTTTTTATTGAAGGGGCCACTACATAGCTGTGAAAATCAATGCGATACAGTGAGCTAGTATTAGCTGCAGACCGGCTCTATCCCTTGTCATCCATTTGCTTAAGCCTGAGCTTGATCCTTGGTGATGGATGCTTTGCGGTAGTCTTCGGCTCATAACACGGCTCCCAGCTAATCCGAGTGTGTGAGCTTTGATGACATACTGCGCTGCCGGGGTTAGCGTGCTAGCTAGCATTGTTCTGCAGGATGCTGTTGTTTCAGCTGCGGTGACCCGGTGGGCTTTGCACGTCGTCCGACACATATCAGGAACTTCATGTGATCAAACATGTCAGATCCCTTGAAGTTTTTGCGATCGTAAAGTTTTAGTGACTCTCCGGAGGGGGGGGCTTCAACTGTGCATATAAATGCTTTTGCAAGAAATAATACGATATTGGACTGTTTATCTGCAGATTTGACCGCCACCCACTGAAGGGAAAAAAGGAAAAAAAAAAGAAGCCCCCCTAAGCCCAATCACTAGGCCCGATGATGACAAAGTACCTCATTTCCCTGTTACCAATCATCCTCTTTCTCGCTCCTAGCTTCCCCTCTTTCATTTCTGTGGGCTGTAAATGGCAGAAAAGACGGGAAGATAGCGCACCTGTCACACTCGATTTGTGTTGGGGGGAGATAGACACGACTACCTGTCTCCGAGCGCCGCGGGGCTAGTAGCAAGCGCAAGAGAGCGGGGGACGTGTGGCGAAGGGAATCAATTTGAGGCAATCTCATCCCCCGCTCACGCCACCGCTGACACGCGCGCAAACACGAATGCATATACATACATCGGGAAGGGAACGCCAGGCAGAATATTCACACGAGTAGTGTTTGTAGCGACGGTGAATTTGATTAGAATCAACTGGACTAGAAGGAAAAAAAACCCTGAGCGAGGGGATGAAGCTGCAGCGTGATCCATACGTAGGTACAGCTGTCTGTCTCCTCCGGTTATTGTTTTACGCATCTGCCCCCTCCAAATCTAAGTGATAGCCTTTGAGTTAATTAATGAAGTGTGAATTTCCATAATGACATGACATTAGGCAGCACACAAGAAACTGTACTCAGCAGCCCTCCCCTTCCCTATTCACGCCGTGCATGCACACACACCCATTTACACACACACACACGCTGATAGAGGCAAACAAAACCATCTGTATGTTGTGTAACCACCAGTGAGACAACCGAGAAGCTGTGCCATGTGAGTAAATACAAGGAGCAGCTAATGTAAGCGCAGCAAAAACACCGTAATTTATACCCCCCCCCCAAAAAAAAAAAAAAAAAAATGAAAGCAATCATAATTGGTGTTGATTTGTAGTGTTCATTTTTACAAGTAAATTGTGCTGCGGATTCCTTCCTAATGTGCTAAGGGGTGATGAGCCACCTGCCAAACCTGGCAGAGAGGCAGCAGTTTGCCAAATGCATTGTTATCTGACAATGGATTGAGCCTAAACACTGCAGCTTTTTTTTTAAATTTTGAATGAAAGCTTTGCGTAATCACACATATGAGCGCGTGCACGGGTTCAAATGACGCTTTCTGTTCTCGTCCCTCAAAAGGCAGCTCCACCTTTGCCCATTTTATCCTCAACATGGCCGTTTAGCGCTGCACTCTGCACCTTCACTTTCATGCGTTTGGTGGCACTGATGCTTACCCATTGAACATTTATTACAATAGAAAGAAAGAGAAAAAAAACACACGGTCTCGTCTTTCTTCCTGAGCCCCTGGTGGTATTATTGTGTTCCCATTCAGTAGTGCTTCATTCAAAGGATTTTGCTGCTGATAGCAATCATGCATTATTAAACAAAGCCTGACAACATGCACAATGTTAATTAGAAAAGGGGGGGGAGTGTGTGGCAAGAAAAAGAAAGGGGCTGTTGAGCTGTCTACTCTCTCTCCTTCCCCATGATCCTTATCAGAAATGTGAAAGAGAAGGAGGGTGGGATGTTTATATTCTCCATAATGGCTGGTCTATTCTCATTTGAGCGTGCTTGTTTGGTATTCTGGTCTATTTAGACAAGCAATATTATTAAGGGTAGAAAAAAAAAAATGTGGGGGAAAAAAAAAAACAAAGAGTCAGTCATATTTATCTTCTATTCCAGCCATACCGCAATAAACTTGTTATGGGAACGAATGCAGGCAGAATAGTTATGAGCTCCCCAAAGCAGCAGGTTTATAACATCAGCTTCACACCCATTGTCTTATCGTGTTCTCTGGCACGCCGTAATGTTTTGGCAAACCAAATCCAAACCAGTGGGAAACCAGTGCTACCGACATTTCAACATAGACTGGAGCAGTTAAATCAAATTGCGCTCATCCTCTTGTGCAAGTTGACTGATTTTATTCTGGCCGGCTCCTTTCTTTAAATGTTTTTAATTTCAGCCTCAAAGTGCTCCAAAGTGACTCCAACTTCAAGGAAATAGCGGAGCTATGGTATGTTATCCGAACGGACCAAAGCAGCCACAAAAATGCCACCAAATCTATTAAGGCCAAATCCCTCTGTAATTAGCCCAACACATGCAAGGACAAAGCACGGCAGAGCAACGACGGTGGATGAGAACCACGCTGCATACTGCGCTATAAAAAGCAGTATCATGCCCAGCCAGGCACGGCAAATAAGAATTTGCTTCCTTTTATGAGGCAGGACTTTCTATTTCCCTCCAGACTAGGAAAGTTAAAGAATGCAATAATTACACTCCACACCCACACTTTCACACTACAGTGATATATACGTGGGGCTATAGGAGCGAGTGCACGGCGCAGACTGCTGTGATAATGTCTGAAACTGCTTCCGAAGACAGACTTTTTTTTTTTTTTGCTGTGAAGTTAAGTAGCAGTGAAGGGGACTCGAGGTGACGGGGGAGTCAGAGCTGCAGCAGATCCACTGTTGACATGCGACACAAGTGCAGTTTTTACAACCTTAATGTTACGACGATGGCACCAAAGTTGACATGTGCCGGACTTTGTTCTGCTGAATTATCCTGCTATCATTAATCTGTCGCCTATCTTTTAAACATCAATCTAGCCACACATGGTCATATCGTCTATCTAATTCTGTGCAATCACTAACGTTGGACTCTGCCACCGCTGTTGGCGACCTGCCCTCCGTTTTGCCTCTTGCTTTCTTCTCTCTTTGAAGACTATCCCTCATTGTGAGGTGGCTCAGAGGATGGCAGGGATGGGGGATTAAGGTTCAGCTGCTTAAGGAGTCAATGTCACTTAATTAAGGCAAAAAGCCCTTTGGAGTGGCAGTGTACACACTCTGCCGAGATCAGCTTAAAGGTCAGAGGGCACAGAAAGCATCACAAGTTGCCGTGCACGAGCCCTTTCCACTTATTCAACGGCTTTGTAGAGTGAAACATCGCCGCCCGTGACAGGCACCCACTCACAGCGCCTCAAGGATTTTTTTTTTTTTTAAATATCAAAGGACTAGATTTATAAAATAAGTTCATCCAAAGCGCAGCCACCCACCCCCGTACACCCGTTTCCTTTTGAAATCCTTATTTCCTCATCAATAGGTTAAGTTTGGGTTTAGCCACAGTGGGTTTTACAGGCGGGCTGTAACCGTTTCTAATCTTTGTCCCGAGCTCTTTACTGCCAGTGTGTAAACTTTCAGTGTCTCTTCACGGGATAAAGACCCTCCTCTTATGTGCAGCTCTTTCTTTCCTCCCTTGTGTTTTATTTTTTTTCCTCCCTCTGTCTGCTTTTCCTCTTTTTTTTTCCCTCCCTCCACTGCTACTTTCTTCTGCCCGCGATGGTGTGATTTAAGACCGAGTGACAAGGCCGTTTCTCACACATCGCTCCCGATCAGCCGGCATGTGTAATAACATCCCTCAAGCTAAGCTAAGCTATGCCCTCAAGTGCAGCCTCCACATGAAAGACCCTGACAACCACACATCAGAGGAGTTTATTTGCTATACTTATTTATTTACTTTCCTCCCCCCCTCTTCTCCTCCTCTCCCCTCCTTGCCTCCCCTGACCTCCCTCAAACAAGTCTCTCACGGTCGTAAACCATCCTTTGGGTGGCGCCGCGCGGCTTTCTGTTTGAGAAAAATCAGGGTTTACAGTTCCGTGCCTGGCTTAATTTTTTATTTTTTTTTTGCAGTGCTGTCGCTGATGACTGGTTATATCTTGTTTTCTTATGAATGGATCAC